TGCTGAGGAGTGTCATACTGTTGTCAGCTGAACAGCTGTCTGTTGGTTAAATCATCTTCGTTTGAACTCCTGGTTAGTATGTTTTGTGTCTAATCTTACTATGTTGGGGCTCCATTGCTACTTTTTTGGGCTGTGTTGTTTATTAAATGGTCTATAATCATAATCTGATTCAAAATGCAATCATCTGTATTAGGGCTGCACGATTAATCGAATGTGATTGTCATGCGCATTTTGTTAGTAATGCCGGTTCTGTAATCAGCAGTAAATCATCATCACGTGCTTTCAGATGGAGCAGCATTTACTACACAGAGCCGTAGTTCACTGACAAGTTACGCCAAAAAATCACAGACGATTTTTATTGCGCGATTATGAAATCGAAGAAATCGTTCGCGATAAATGACAGCTGTTTGCATAGCTTCTCAGTGAACTACGGCTCTGTGAAGTAAATGCTGCTCCATCTGAAAGCATGTGAAAATACCACATTTCCTGGGTTTCTTCTGCGAGGCGTATTTGGAGTTTCAGCGCGAGAGCGCCCTCTGGGCTTTAGATGGAGATTTACTGCTGATCACAGAACCGTGCTTCGCTGAAAGATACGAATGACAATCGCAGCTTCTGTCAAATCGCGATTTCGATTCCATTTCGATTTATCGTGCAGCCCTAATCTGTATGGAGTGCCACAAATGCTTTCCATTACTGATTTAATGAGAGTAAATAAATCAGATGATATTTGCTGCAACTGCCACATTAAATTTGAAAATGCAATAGAATAGACTGAAAGCATAGCCATATACTAATAATGATTGTAATATAATCTTGAATTCTGATGCTTTTCTTTGCTTTTCTTTGCTGGAGGAATTAGATAGCTAATGCACTGGAAGGTCTTTGAGTAAAGCTATTGTGAAGTAAACATTTTAATAACATTTGTTAAAAAATATGTATGTGTAAAATTATAAATATAAATAAAAATTATATTATATTTCTAAAGATTTTGTAAAGAAGTTGTAAATAAAACAAAAATGATTTGATGCGTTTTACAAGAAAATACCATTTTAGACTTTCTACATTAAAATTATAGGTTTAATTCAAAGTGTTGCTTGCCATTTCTTTGTACTTATTTACAAACTTTACCAGCAATTTCTGAGTGACAATTGTAAAAAAAAGTAAATCCTACAACAATTTTTTTTCACTGGATATATTCCTCCTCTTCACCTGCAGCCCTCGCCCTATTTGGTCAGTTGTGGGGTAACCCCTCCACCCACTGTCAGGATTAGAACTACATGCCCTGAGCAGATTACTTTCAGTGTTGTCCATCTGCATTCACATTATTAACAAACAGCACTGTGGGGATTTCCTCTAGACTCAACATGCTTCTCAATGTGCTACATCTTCTCAAATAAGGACTTTACATGCTTTAAATGTAGTCTCGATTGCTAGTTGCTGACCCAGTTTCTTGTAGACACTTTGAAGCTACAATTTGTTGCTCTATTAACCAGTCTTTGTTGGCGATCTGACAGTAGCGTGTGTGAACTAGGGTACAATCATACAACTACACTGTATCCTGTACTTCTAGTGCCTCATTAACTAACAAAACATACTGTTTAGCATTACAAATAGCTCAGTCCCATGCATGAATAGATTTATGTTGTTGAGAAAGATCTATTTATTTTGGCAACTCCAATATATTTGAGTTATAAATAATGAAACCCATTACTTTAGTCGTAAAGAATCACATTTGTCAGATCAAAGAAGAGTTGCAGTTCACCCCATAATCGATGGCTGTAGATTATAAAGCACTGACGTGGGCCTGAGGGCAGAACCTCATGCTGGAGTGAGTCCGTTTACGGCTGCTCTCAGCAAGACCTCTGTGATTAGTGGCAGTATGGCCCTTCTTTAGAAAACTCAAGTTAATTCATGTTTCCACATTTGGCATCCAACTTTATTATTTGTCAGTCAGTGTTCTCCGACCACGGTGTTCATTTTTCGAGGTATTCCTCTTTTTCATGAATCACTTCACAGCGTGAGCTTGCTTGATTTGTTTGTGAAGTCTGCGTATGCAAAGTGGAGGAAAGTTTCAGGATGAAAACATCCACGTCCATGGTAAACGCTTCTATTAAATGACGAGAGAGCTCAGTAATGTGATCCTAATGGATAAAACAAAGAGGAGTTGAAAGACCACCCTAACAGAGTGACAAATTCTGTTGAACTCTGGAGTTCAGCATTGGAATGGTGTTTCTCTTTGAAATATTCTCTCATTTCTTTCTTTTTATTTTGAATGTATTTACAGAGCTCTGAGCTCAGGCAGTTCAGCTTCCTTTATGTCATTGTTTGGCTAAGCTGGAGAAGTGTTTTGTTCTGGTCTAATCGAAACAAACTTTAACGGTCATTATTAGCCATATAAGACATCTTTAAACTTTTTTTATTGTTCTTTTTAAAACCTATGTATGACCGGATGTAAGGCCTGATTTTGATGATATTAAGTCTTTTGTTGTTTTAATATGAAAGGATGTTTTATTCTAACCATGCGGAATTCATGGTTTTACAGCCATAATCATCCAGTTATTGATCGCATTTTGTCTGTGTTTTTACTAGTGACACATGGTTTCCTCGTCACACTATCAAATGCAGTTCTTGTATTATTGTGTCTCTGCAGTGGATAGAGCTGAGTACAAAGCTTTAATCCTTTTTTTGGGGCCTTAAATATGGGTCAGTTCAATGGAGAATAACAGCTTTCTTTCTTTATCATGAGGTTGTTCAAGGGGATGTTGTCATTGGCAGAAGCTCTTCTCCGTGCCAATGGCTTAAGAATGTTTGCAGTCACTTTACAGTCACTGGACAGGAGGAAGTAGCACCTGATGAGTACCATTCACTTTATGGGGGGGAACAGTTCCCCCAGAAATTCAATTTCCTCACACTTAAAATTTGGGCTCAGCAAGGATGCATTAAAATGAACAAAACTGACAGTAAAAAGACGGTTATAATGTTACAAAATATTAACATTATAACATTATAATATTAACATTATAACATTATAAATAAACACTGTTCTTTTGATCTTTCTGTCCATCAAAGAATCCTGAAAAAGTAATAGTTTCAATGTTTTCAACATTGATAATAATACAAAATGTTTCTTGGGCACCAAATCAGCATATTAGAATGATTTCTGAAGGATCGTGTGACACTGAAGGCTGGAATAATGGCTGCTGAAAATTCAGCTTTGCCATCACAGGAATAAATGACATTGTAAAATATATTCAAATAGAAAAAAGTTGCTGTTAAGATTAAATTGTAGTTGGCATAAAAGAAAAATCTATAATTTTGACCCATACAATGTATTTTTGGCTATTGCTACAAATATACCCCAGCGACTTAAGACTGGTTTTGTGGTCCAGGGTCACATTTCACAATATTACAGTTTTTACAGAAAATAATGACATCATATTCATTTTTGCCTTAACTAATCCTTAAAGGTTTTCTGCAAACATCTCATTTGTGCCAGTGTGTGCCAGTGTTTTATATATATACATTTGCTTTGTTAAAGAAGTTGTTCTTATGTGAGGAACAAAAACATCAGTAATCATGAATGACCTGCTGGCAGAAATATAAACACTTGAACTGACCATTCACGACTCAACCAAAGAGAAAATGGGGGGTCATTGCGTTTTTAAGTGCCACAAGGTAGGGGTGAGACTAATCCTATTATTACATGTTGGTCTTTTCAGAGGGTGCGTCTGGAGTTTGCAGATCTTCTGTGTCACTGTGACAGTACACCACGACGAGAGGCATAGCTATGTGCTTAAATGGAATAAGAAATAAAATCTCAAAAAATATGAAAAGGTAGGAGCTGATAGGATGCTGATAAATGTGTTTTAATGAGCAATATTTTTTTAATTTTCATTTTAAAGTAATCTAGTAAATTGTGGGAAACAGTTGTAGTGTATGTAAGCCCTTACCAAAAAGTAGTATAGTATACTAATAGCACACTTGAATAAACTTCTTTTTCGTAAGGGAGGACATCTCTTAACAGACAAATGAGTGTGTCACATTCCTGTGGAAAGACAAAGCTTCACTGTAAGCATGTTTTCATATGCAATATTGTAATTTTGCTTTCGTTACTCATATTATCAATGACGTTATTGCATGCCTAGTTGTTGATAGACATGTTTTAGAATTGCCATTTATAAATTTCATGTGAGTTATTGAGGTTAAACTCTTGAAAGGGGTGGTGGCTTCTGTCCTATTAGCTGTCATTTTACTCTTCTAGTCTGATCCTTATGACTTCAGCGGTCAGTTGGTTGTACATCCCCCTCTTGTTTATATAGTTGTGCTAAGTAATCTTCTCACAGTTTAATAAATTTTTTTCCCTAGTAATGGACATTAATGTAAAGTTGATATATTGTTAAACGTAAATGCTCCATTATCTCACTAAAAGGTTTTTGATCTCATATGGGAGGACTAGTAGTTTGTGTGATGCTCACAGATGCCAAAATCGTGTTATTTTGAGCAAAACCCCAGAGTAGCAATTTGATTGAGGTCTTTGTCTACAGCATATATTTAAATATGCCAGAAATGTGGTCTGCAAGTCCAAGAGTTTGAGCTACACCATCACAACATCTGGCTGGCAGTTTCAGCATTTATTGTCAGGTTACATTCCACAAGGTTAAGGTGAATAAGCACTGAAAGGAAGTTTGCTTTTCCTTTCTGTCTGCTCACTGTGCATCGAATAATCTCAACTGCATTGATTCTGCCTCAACTGAATGTCTGTATAAACAGCCAAATGACACATCTGTAAAAGGGCCAGAAGACTATTATTGGAACCTTTTCCAGTTCATGAATTCTGTCAGTCAAATAAAATAGCTGGTATATAGGAAGCTTGCTTTCTTCTGTTCCTGTCCGTACTGTGGTTGAGTAGCAAATGAGCCATGACTGCAGCGCTTTAACATGAGTTCATGCCTGCTGATTTGCTTTGTAATGGCATTTCTATTTATTTTCTTTCTGATTAGGTGGACGTCTGTGGCGCCTGTGAGTCAGGATAGATCTCGACTCCCAGCGATCTGCAATTTTCCACTTTAATGGTATTGGAAATCAGATTTGGCACACACCAAGACGACCCGCTAATGGCACACGTTCTCTTGTTACCCCTCAAAGCATAAACGTGCCCTACTTCCTCAATCTCTGCTCTTTCCTTTTGTTTCTGCGGATGATATCATGGACCTCTGTGGTCTGAGTGTATTATCGATGGGCGGCAGCGCTCTGGATCTGAAATCTGTGAGGTCACGGTGTCATTTCGAGAGGAATGTGAAGCCATTTTAATGTGCCTGATTACAGCCACCACTGGAGAGCCTTGACTCAACATGCAGGAGCAGCCCAGGCAGGCCCAGCAGCAGCTAGGATGCCTATCACCCAAGAAAATGCCCTGAGCCATCTACCTCTGCTGGAGAACTGGCTCTGGGCACGAGAAAAGGACAGAGATGAGGGCAATGAGCCTAGGACTAGCGCAGGCGCTGTTTGCCAGGCTGCCATCTGTAAGCTTGTGGAATACATCCAGCTAAACTTTGCTGAAGTTGAGAGTCCTTTGTACAGTAGCAGCCAATTCAGAGAGGAAATCGATGCTGAGGTGAGGGCGGTCTACCTGAGCAAGTCTGAGGAAGATGGACCGGAGTTCGGGCTCAGCTTTGGAAATATTCCGATTTTTGGAGACCCCGAGGGGAAGAAGAAAGGGGTCAGGAGGAGGCGCAGGAAGGGCGATAAAGGCCTTGTCTTGGACGTCGGGTGCATTTGGGTGACTGAAGTGAGAAAGAATAGCCCAGCAGCCCGTTGTGGAGATATTAAACTGCGAGATGAGCTTCTGTCACTGAACGGACAGCTGATGGTTGGGGTCGATGTCACCGGAGCCAGGTAAGATGTCTGGATTTGTTTACAGTTACCATATAACAGCTTAAGCTATATGATCTATTCTGTCTTTTAAGAATTGGTTTGGTTATTTTAAACTTAACATGCATTAACAGTATGGCATTCCCTATATCTACAGTATATGCATTTTCTCTCAATTTGTAAAAGCCCATGGGAAATGAGCCTGCTAAGCTTCCGTTGTAAATGTAATACTGAAAACGTGTCTACAAAATACATATGTAAAGCCAAAATTATTTTCGGCGGTAACTGAAATTAACCACAGATGACAGCCTGATTGTGACTGAACTTGCTTGGAAGACATGGTGACAGTGACCGCTTTGTGCATTGCCAAATCTTTGGAGGATGTCATAAAGTTTTAGACTGAAGAGTTGCAGAAAATCTGTGTTGATGAAAAGCTAGTGATTAATTAAATCATATAACTGAAAGATTAAAATAAACAATATAAAAATAAAAATCAAAGGCCTGGTTTCACAGAGAGGGCTAAGACTAAGCCAGGATTAGGCCATAGTTCAATTAGGACTTTCAGTTGAATTTTCATAGTTCAAGTTTCTTTCAGTTGGAACAGCTCAGACTTAATTTTAGTCTGGGACTAGGCTTAAAGGGGTCATATGATGCGATTTCAATTTTTCCTTTCTCTTTGGAGTGTTACAAGCTCTTGGTGCATAAAGAAGATCTGTAAAGTTGCAAAGACTAAAGTCTCAAATCCAAAGAGATATTCTTTATAAAAGTTAAGAGTCAGCCACGCCTACCTAAAACGGCTCGTTCTAACACACCCCCACATACCTACGTCACGATCTCGGAAGAGGATCGGCTTTCACCGTGGACGAAGCGGAGTCCAGCCTGGAGTCGTCACATGTCCTTACGGACGCTCCTTCGTCGAAATCGACGGCCGCGCCATTCTCAAGCCCAATAATGCATTTTTTGAACCTTAAACCACATAAACACATTTCATTACACAAAATACACAAAATAATGTTCTTTTTAGCAACATCATGACCCCTTTAAGCCTTGTCTGTGAAACCAGAGGAAAATGAAATGACAAAAAAAAAATATATATATATAATGTATTTGTTTTCGTGCATGACCTCAGAGAACTGTGAACATGTGAATGTGTTGTTAAATTATTGACATAAACTTAAAATCTTAGGTGGTATTTCAAGAAAATATTTTAGGTCAAGTGGGTTCAGCTGACAAAAAGTTCAAAATTTTCCAGATGATTAGGCACACTTGGCAATGATGTCACTGGTCTGTAAACAGAGGACGAAAAGGCAGTCAGACTAGGAAGTGTAGAAAATAAAGTAAAGCAGCCAAGAAACGTCACAGTGCGTGAAATGAGTAAAAATTCTTTGAAATTCTACATTCAACAAGTTCAATCAGTAGGATTTCACATTAATGACTATAGTATATAAAATCCTTTTCTGAACAGCTCCTCATCTGACTGGGTGGCAGCTTCTTGTTTAGGTATGAGGGTGATTCACAGCTGGTCAGCAAGAACAGAGTCTCCTGTGTGTTAGTGTTCCCGTTTCCATGTACAGCGTGTCAGCAAGTGTCCCGGGGTTGACTGGTTTTGCCCCAGAGCATGGTACTTGGATCGGGGCCAGTGGGTCTTTCCTTGTTTGTTTCCTCATGTTGACAGCTCTGACAGACGGCTGCATGTGGCTGCAGTCTGATGTCTGTCCGTGTTTGGCCTCCATCTGGACCGGCTGACATGCTCAGCTTTCACTGAGACCGCCAAATGTCTGCGTCTAACCAAAACAAAGGATGGATCTGCGCTCTGAAGTTCACCATGCTGCCGTGCCATGCTTTTTTTGCTTTTTCCTTTCTTGGCAACCTTGGACAATGTGTCACATTACCAGCACTTTGCCAGTACACTCTAAATCTCTGAAAATAACTATTTTAGATGCTAATTCTGTTATCCCAGATTTCTAATTCAGTTCGCAAACCTTTTAGATTCAGAATGAGAATATAATAACATTGCAGCTAAATTATGTTTTCTGTGCAACTCTGATTGAATCTTGTACAGCTTTGGTTATCCTAAAAATCAGCCACTGGTACCATTGACCAGACAGATATAAAACTTGCCTCTTTTAGACTTGCGCTCTATTTATTTACTAACCGCTTGTTTTCTTTGAAAAAAAAAAAAATGACACTTGCTTCTCTAATCTTTTTGCATTCTATCTATTTGTTTTCTTTTTATTTATTATACAATTATAATTCTAACTTTCTGACTTCTGATTAACAAAAGCAAAAAAGGCCTCTAACACTAGCTTGCTCTATTCTTTTTCTATCCCTTTTCTTTTTATTTATTATATGATAAAAAAAAAAAACTTGCTACGTGTACTGCATTAATCTAACTGAGACTTGTCATAGCACTTGCATATCATTGCTCTCTTGTTGATTTTGATTGCTTCCATTGTCCTCATTTGTACGTCGCTTTGGATAAAAGTGTCTGCTAAATGTCTAAATGTAAATGTAAATATGCATGTAAATGACTCTAGGGCGCAAGCCTTTTTAAAGGGATAATTCACACAATAATAACAGTTTTGGCATCATTTACGCACCCTCATATCGTTTCAAATCTGTAGCTATTCTTCTGTGGCACATAAATGGAGATATTTTGATGAATGTTGGAAACCAAACTGGTGACCCTTGACTTTCATTGTATGAACAAGAAAACACCAAGAATATTTCTGTAAATATCTTATTTTGTATTCAAAGAAGAAAGAAAGTCATATAGTTTTGGAGCAACATATGGTGAGTAAATGATTTTGGGTAAACTATCTTTTTAAAGCAGTGTGAGCACATTTTAGGGATTTGAAATTGAGACCAAAAGAACTGGCATAAAGATTTTAAAGGATTAGTTTACTTCCAGAATAAAAATGTCCTGGTAATTTACTCACCCCCATGTCATCCAAGATGTTCATGTCTTTCTGTCTTCAGTCAAAATCCTTTGCTAGATAAGACCCCTGTTCCTCGGCTGGGATCGTGTGTAGAGCCCTTTGAAGATGCATTGAAACTGCAATTTGGACCTTCAGCCTGTTGGCCACCATTGAAGTCCATGAGAAAAGTCCTGGAATGTTTTCCTCAAAAACCTTAATTTCTATGCGACTGAAGAAAGAAAAACATTAATCTGGGATGACATGGGGGTGAGTAAATTATCAGGAAATTTTTATTTTGGAAGTGAACTAATTCTTTAACTGGTCTAACTAATATAGTGCACATATTTATCCATTTGGCTACTACGTGTCCGATAATGCATCCAGTGAAATTAGCATATTTTTCAGATTTATAGAGTATTAAAGAAGTCATTGTGTCTCATGTACTATACAGTCCTATATATACCCAAGATGAAGACTACTTCCTTTGAATGTCCTGTGAATGTTGTGGTCTAAGAGTTGAATCCATCGCTGTAACTTGAGCTCTATAATTAGGAGTTGTATTGTGTGGCTGATAAATGATAGGAAGTTTTGCAGTGTTCACACAGAATCTGCTTTGGGATAACTGATTCCCTACGGATGGACGGCAGGATACAGAAAGGGAGGAGGTTCCTGGGAGTGGCACGTGGTTTTGACCAAGAACTGAAGTTGTTTTCACAGACATATCATTTTCTCAAGCTAAAGAAAAGCTGTTGATGTCAAGACATCTCTGGGAGGGAAACAACGGCTGAATTTCTTCTTGTTATTCTGATACGAGAGCTCAGTCTGTTTCCTGGTGGCATAAGCTGCTTACCACATGTAAGACCTGCAAAACAAATGAATGCTTGTGGTTCTTTATTAGTAGATTTTTCTTTTGCTTTTATATCTGTCTGGGGTGATTTGAGATAACTCCGAGATAACTTTACTGCTGATTACTGAGGAAGAACTGGCAAGAAAGAATAATGTAAGCATGGTCTGCCTTTATGTGGACAAAATGCCTTATTTTTGGCTTAATTTCCAGTCACAGTTTTTAAAACGTAACTGCTTTGTGAGATTTGTGACAATACTGGGTGGTGAGGTGACAACTTAAATCAAAGTAATATTCCAGAATAATTTATTTTTAGACTGTAAGGAGTAGTTTGCCCAAAAATTAAAATGCTGTCATCATTTACTTACTCATGTTTTTCCAAACCCATAAGCCTTTCTTTCTTTAGTGAAATGTAAAAGAACATATTTTGAGAAATATATTTTTGTCCAGCGGAACTTGATGGTCACAAGTCTGTTTGGTCACCAACATTCTTATATCTTCTTATATGTTGCACAAAAGAAGGAAATTCACACAGGTTTGGAATAACATGAGGGTGAATAAATGATGACAGAATTTTTTGATGAACTGTACCTTTAAAACTACACTACCAAAGATTTTTTTCAGTTAAAATAGACAAAAATATCTTTATTGAGAGAGTAAGAAACCATTCTCTATTGTTCTAACCTAACACCAATAAGCCTACAGTGATTAGTGATTGATATTTTTAACAGTTCGAATTTAGCAGGAATTTTTAGATTTATGTCTTTTGTCCTTGCGAGTTTATGTATGGGACAGAAGCGCTACTTGCTCAGACAACATTTAAAAAAAAATATATATATATGCTTGTAGGAAGGACAACTGATGTAAAGATGTAAAAACAAAAAAACTATTCTCCACATAACTTGCGCAATCAATTATTTTATAATATATCTAATATGGTAATATATTCCCTGCTAAAACACATAGCATGGCTAGTAACCAACATATACTAGCGTTCAAAAGTTTGGGGTCGGTACAAACTATTAATGTTTTTGACATCTCTAATGCTCACCAAGGCTGCATTCATTTGATTAAACATACAATAAAACAGTAATATTACAGTAAAACTGAAACATTATTACAATTTAAAATAACTGCTTTCCATTTGAATTTTCAGCATCATTACTCCAGTCTTCAGTGTCACATGATTCTTCAGAAATCATTCTAATATACCGATTTGCTGCTCAAGAAACATTTCTTATTATTATCCATGTTAAAAACAG